CGGCATTAGACAGTAAGGACCGTATACGTACTACCAAGCGTACGTTATAGATGAGATACTGGTGATACTAGCGATAGACAAAGAGAACGTAGTTAACCCTTCGGGTCCTAAATTACTTTACATATAGCTTGACATGAACCACAAAATTTTACTCCAAACACTGTAGAGCAAAGTATCGGAGTTCTGGCCCTTACTTAATTGTTGACAGAAGGCTATTGTACGTACACTCGCGAGTACCGGCAGGAATGACGCTTGCTCTAAAGCAGTAGTACAATTTAAACAAAGTGGTACTTATAAGTACCGCCAGGGCACAAAAGGTTAAACAACGCATTACACTTATGTAGAACGTAAGTGGACGCATTGCATCTCAGGAAGAAAATCAAGAAGATGATTTTTGCACTGAAAAATTTACAAGGGCCAGATTTAACAGGATCGACTGAGAAGAATGTCTAAAAGTAGCAGAAACAGTTGTTTGGGGCCGGAAGGATCGTCGTCATTTGAGGTGTCCCAACTTCTAATGTCCTTTAGAAGTTCTGTACGTATCCGACACTCGTAGGCGCGAAACCTGTCCGGAAGCGAAAGGTTCAGGTATACAGTTCGAACAGCATCCGCTCTGTCTGTGTCCGATCGACCGTAATTATCCTGAAATGAAAGAGCAACGAGTAGTCTATGGTAAAATTAAGCGATATACACTGTTGGCCCTTAAGGCATAACTCGCGATCCTTGTTCGTCAGGAAAATAATCGAAATTGACGTAAGCAACGCTACGCATGCACAGTTTATGGAAAAAACATACACCTTTTCATGAGTAAGGGCTTTTTGGTGTGATTAATTGAGTTCATCGCGACAAGTTCGAAATCAGAGTCCTTCACATGAACAGAAAAGCGGAAGACGGCCGTTTCAACCTGTTAAGTCTCGTCAGTAGTGCGCATCAATCAGGATCCGAACCCGTGATCACCAGGGGTTCGAACGGCCAGCCAGAAGTTAGATTGCAAATCATGGTGGTCCGCTGCTGTCCTTTATGGCTCAGTAACATAAGCTGCTGATAGCCATGGGATCAGATTCTGATTGAGCCCATGGATGCGCACTATTGACGAGACTCTAAGGGGCGAAACGGCTGTATAGTGCCTTTCCAAGCATGTAGAGGACTATGATTTGGAAGATGCTGCGATGAACTCTCAAAGAACAAATATTTTCATATAATACTCGTAAGTAGCAGGAGTTTAGTTGTAATCTTTGTAAGGTATTCATCTCGATAGTTCACAAGCTATATAGCACAGCCTAGTCCAGAAAAGCACCAGACGCGTTGCCCTATTGGAGCTCGTCAGTGGTGCGCATTCCCTCGGTCCTCTAATGAGGATCGAACTCATGACCGCTAGACGCAGATGTCAACTAGCCAGCAGCTTAAGCCACTGAGCCATGGGGACGTCGGCTGCACTACATAATTTGCAAACTAACTGGGATATAGCACCACCTATCTTCCACTGTCACTAACAGTGGCTAGCCTGCGAGGTAATGACGTCCTCTCACTAGACGCCATATCTATAGCATTTGAAACTAGGAGAGGCTGTTTATTTTATATATTACTTGTAAGTAGCAGGATTTTAGTTGTAATCTCTGTAAGGTGTTAATCCCGATAGTTCACAAGCTACATAGCAGTCTAGTCCAGCAAAGCAACAGACGCGTTGCCCTATTGGAGCTCGTCAGTGGTGCGCATTCCCTCGGTCCTCTAAGGAGGATCGAACTCATGACCGCTAGACGCAGATGTCAACTAGCCAGCAGCTTAAGCCACTGAGCCATGGGGACGTCGGCTGCACTACATAATTTGCAAACTAACTGGGATATAGCACCACCTATCTTCCACTGTCACTAACAGTGGCTAGCCGGCGAGGTAATGACGTCCTCTCACTAGACGCCATATCTATAGCATTTGAAACTAGGAGAGGCTGTTTATTTTATATATTACTTGTAAGTAGCAGGATTTTAGTTGTAATCTCTGTAAGGTATTAATCCCGATAGTTCACAAGCTACATAGCACAGTCTCATCCAGCAAAGCAACAGACGCGTTGCTCTATTGGAGCTCGTCAGTGGTGCGCATTCCCTCGGTCCTCTAATGAGGATCGAACCCATGACCGCCAGAGGCAGATGCCAACTAGCCCCGATAGGGCGAAACACCAGACGTATAAGGATCGAGGCCGAAGTAGGGCCGTTGCGCGAGCTCTGGTCGTCGAAACCGTTGGCAGCTGAATCACGGAAACAGGAATCTGTTGGTAACGGATAACAGTGATGGGTAACCAATGGACAGGTGGTGTGTGAAGGGGTGTGAGTAGGGGAAGAAAAAGTGGTTGAGCGTGGTATAACTGATGAATGATTTGTGGTTTTGTCAGTAAACGTAATACTACTCGGTTAACCAATACGAAGTATAGAATTGTCTTAGGAAACACCACCTCGAGCCTTTGGCTAAGTAGACTAACTGCAAGGCAGTGAAACGAATACATGGAATCGCGCCCATTTGAAGTCAGCGACTGAATGCTCAGTGCATATATTTTGTTTACTAAAACAACAAAGAGGAGCCCCATGCTCCCTATGATATCGGCGCACAGTTGCTGTAGTACAATGTTGCGTCGAGGTGAAACAAGGGACAATGATTTTATTCAGTGGAGAGTCACATATGCCACATCGCAGTGCTGTTAAACAGACATTTGTGGCTTTTTATCGGGAAAACGCTTGCCGGGCGAAAACCCACCAGGTCCTGGAACAGCGCTGCCGAGCACATCGTTGGAACGGGCTAAACCCGAACCGCCCAGCTGGCACCACGAGGTGATAGTTCGGCAACCCATCCACTTGATGCTATAACAGAATGGTGATTACTGATCTTCGGCTTCCTCTATTTTAGTCATGCCAAATGAGTTACTGATTAGCTCATCACCGTTGATACTCAACGAAACAAAGCGGGTTGCGTTCATCGATAGTTGGTCTTCTATCCGCTCAGCGCGATCACACTTACTCCCCCCCTCCACCATGCGCGTCGTCTATCTCGGCTCTCGTGTGTACAAAGGTTCGGCGTCTATTAAAAACAAGCAGTTCCTCTCAGTTAGTTGAAAAGTAAGGTGAGAAGACGAAATTCAGCGGATGCATGCATTTTGTATCGGTTGGTCAGTGCCAGTAACGATAAGTAGTGAGTATATGTAATGATTTGAGAGTGCAAACATACATACAGACAAAGGAGAGGAAAATCGGATGTCTTGACCTTACACCCAGGACAGCCTAAGGCTGACCGATAATGGCTTCTGAAGCCAAAGTGTTTCGATGTTACTCACTCCACTCCCCGAAGTGTCGTCCATTTTTGATCCAATGACAGAGATAAATGGAGCTGGGATTGAAATCGAGGGCATAACGTTTAACGGTATACGTGATAGTTGCTAAGTCATTGAGATCAGCGATCAGCCCATAGGACAAAGGTTCGATGTTGAGTTATGCATTGCGACACAGTCTCTACTTCGATCACTCGAACTGTCTGAAATGCATGGTCCGGTGTTGTTCGTTCGCAACATCTGCATCTAATTCATGGTGCGGTGTTTGGGCTAAGACACCGATGTTCAATTATACTTGTTTTACACACAGGTGCGTTACAAAGTATGGTATTTCCTTTAACTGAACGTTTCGATTTGGTTCAGCATCGTTACGAGACTGGATGTTGTAAGAGCACGGATGACAATTTTTTACAGCTCAGCGGAAGGGTGCTTTGTCAATAGAAACAGTCACTTTTATTTTATAGGCCGCTCGGCTCAAGCTAGATAATCCTAAATCAGCATTTCTGCTTGAAGGTAGGCTCAAAGTGACGGATCGTATAGCAAAATTTCGAGGTGCTTTTGCTCCACTTCCACACTTACGGCGCCTGCGCGACATCATTTCCACCCTGAGGAGTAGAGTATAGAATGCTGCTCCGTCTGACCATCCAAAGCGGTTGTGAAACCTGACCCATCAGATCAACAGAAGTATAGAGCAGTTATTTCCCTTCAGAAATTTGAAAAGCGGGGTAAGAAGACGAAAGCTGGTACATGCATGCATTTTGCATTGTCTCCTCAGTACCATTAACAAGAACCGGTCTGCAACTATATACTTACCTATGGGTGTGACCAAATAAGCATGAGGTGCAAAAGGAATGACGGAAGTTCCACCCCTATGTCCACAGCAGTCTTAAGCTGATAAATAATTGCTTTTGAACACACAGGACTGGCTTCATCCGGCTTATCGCAACGACCTCAGCGAAACGAACGAAGCGGGGATTATGGTTAGGTAATACAAGTGTGAACGCTGATCCAAGCTCTATCCGGTGATGCGTAGTTGGTAGGTGTTTACCTATTGAGGAAGCTGGCTGCCTGTGCTAGCACGGAACTTTAGTTAGACAGGGATGCTGATCACTTTCACGTTGAACCCACCTTGGCACGTGTTCCTTTATTCGGGAAATCAAAGACCGATTGGTTCTGCCTAGGTAACTGTCTCCGCAGTCGCACACAATCGGTTGAGCTTCCTTCATTAGAGGCACCGGCAAGTTACGAGTTCTAATGATGATCACGACCTGAGCAGCACAGTAACTTCGCTACGTAGCAGAGATTAAACATTTCGTGGTTTTTGATGCAGTAAATTCACCCTTGAAAGGCAACTCGATATAGATCTATTTCTTGGCTGCCGTATGCACCAAGTCTTTGGGGTCTCGCTGTTGGCTGTGTTTCTCTATAAATCTACGGGGATAACTATTCGCGATGGGTGTTGTTGCAATTAAATCTAGTTCGTTGGCTAGACGATTAGCCGAGCAAATTTGTCTAGCACGACTAACTAAAGTTTTCACAAGGGTCCGCTTGTACCGCACTAGTGTGAGGTTGAAGCATATTGCTTTTCTGTACATAGACCTCTTAATGAGCTCGTTATCCCTGCGACTGATGAGGATGTCTGAGAATGGCAGATAGTTCCTTTCCACTTTGCAGGTGACCCTCAAGTTGGCATGTGCACAGTTGAGTTGCTGCAGCAACTGAACAATCTGCTGCTGCGACGAACGAAAGGCCAATATGTCATCTACATAACTCTTATGGTATTGTAACTTGGCTGTTTCTGCGGATATGCCTCTTTCTATTATCAACATGAAGAAATCGGCGAGTACAAGACCTAGTGGGCTACCCATTACCACACCGATTTGACGATAAGGGATGTTCTGAAGATGGAAGCCAACAATTTCTGTACACAAAAGCAAGGAATCCTGGAATTGGTAATGAATAACTAGACTGCTCAACTAGTTCACATATGTAATCAACAGTTTGTTGTAGTGGGACGTCGGTGAATAGCGATTCCACATTCAAAGAACACATGACGTTATCGGAGAGGTTGATGTCCTCCAAGTCATATATAATGTGAAAGGAATCTTTAAGACTATATGGATTGGACAGTTGTAGCAGAGGCGAAAGTATCTTCATTAGCCAGCGAGCCAATTTATGCTGCGGCGTATTTATCATTGATAAAATCGGCCTAAGTGGTACTCCACTTTTGTGCGTCTTCAGTGACCCATATAGCTGCGGAGTAGTGCTGCCACTTGGTTTCAAAGAATTATAGATTTAATGATAATGTCTTTGTCTCAGCTGCTCACAAGCTATATAGCACAGCCTAGTCCGGAAAAGCACCAGACGCGTTTCGCCCTATTGGGGTGCATTCTGTCGGTCCCCTACTGGGGATCGAACACATGACTGCTAGAGGCAGATATCAACTAGCCAGCGATGTCCCTATCAATCACGCGAGGAAAGAGAGGCGTTTCAAGATGGGCAGTTATGCGAGCTTCAACGTCAGCGACGTTCTCCATCTTATTAAGCAGATGAGCATGCTACCCATTTTCTGAGCGTACTCGGCCTTGTTCATGACCACCACTCTAGAGCTCCTATCCGGTTTCATCACAACTACGTTCTTAGTAAGCAGTTCACGCAGTGCCTGAAGGCGTCGGCTTGTAAGAGCGCATTTTTCAGTCACTGGCACAGTCTTAACTTTGTGGGCAACGTCGGTCAGTTCGTTTCTAAACCAAACAACGTTCTTAAGACTGGATAATTAAAGCGCCTTAAATTGAGCAAAAAAATTCTCAAACTGAGCTTCTATAAACAACCCGTTCAGTTTTCTAGGAGGAATTTTATAATCAAGCCCATATGACAATGCTTCTAACTGCAACGCATCAAGTTGTATGTCTGATAAATTCACCACGTACTTACTAGGATCACAAACAATTGGCTCCTCATCTTGGCTGTTCGTAAGGGAGTTCTCCAACCGAGTATTTCGATTTCGCCTTGTACAGTCGAGAGTGGGTTTACAAAATTTAGCGAACACAACACGACAACACAATGAGAGATCCTCTATCACACGCAGTAGGAGTGCGTGAGTTTCCGTCCCGGCCGTCTACAAGTGAGCGGATGCCATGCGTTTGAGGTTAGATGTATAGAGGCTAGTTGCGTTCGATCATCGCTACCTTCGCAGTTTAGCTCATGTCTGGTGGGAACACCGTGTGAGCAAATGAGCATGTTTGGCGTCGCGCATTTAGTGCAGGAAAAGCACATGAACCGCTCGGCACCCTTATTTCACGCATTACGTTACCATGCCTAGGCTACGCGTTGTGCAGGAAAGCGCACCGACTCCTGCAACGTGTGTTGTCTGCGCGACCGGAGTGTGAATAGAAGAGTAGAGTGGGATAACCGAAACCTTAGTAAAGAGGAATAAAGGCCCATACTTCGAAGTTGGCCTCGGTTGGAGCGTCTCGACTCCATGGTTAGTGTCCCAAAGACGAACACATTTAGTTGGAGGCAATTGTTAGCACGACGAAGTGCCGACCGAGGTGGCACTTGGATTCCTTCTTCAATCGTGATCCAGCTCTCGACGCATAAAGAAACAAAGTATAATAATATGATTTCAGAAGGACAAGAAAACGACCGGTAGGCATAATATTTCAAACCCTTCTGAAAGCATGAGCTCTTGATCGGTTCCGACAATGTTTCAAAAGGTTAAGGCACAATATTGATTGTTTTTAGTTCGGATTATGTATTAACTTTGGTTTCCTGTTAAATTGTACTGCGGCACAATAGCTGAAGCATTTCTCACCTCTAGATAAATGCAGAATGATGGTAATGGCTTAAGTAATACTTTTTAAGCGTCGGTCGTAAAGCACGGTTAGTCTTTCAGAGCGCAGTGGTTATGTGTGATAGATGCACTGACGCCGGACACATCAGAGCACTGTGAACGTCTCCATTAACTAATTAACTCAAAGCTCGACAGATTTTGAAGTGCTACATAAGTCTAAGATGTGCAGTGATATCCTAGATGACGTGATTCCCAGAATGTGATGCAGCTACATGGACAAGTAAATAAGCAAGTAGTCGTTCAAGGATAAGAGGAACTAGTGGGGGGTCCATCCATCCTTGTACCAAGTGGCTTGCACTTTGAAGGTGTGAAGCCACGTCGAATGATGCAGCGGTGTGAGCAGCACATTCGGCAACGTTTGCATGGCAGCTTGGTCCGAACAAATAGAGCTGTCGCTCGCGTACTCCTAGTTCGACAGCAGGTTACTGAACAGAAACTCTGCGCTTGAAGTGCAAGAGGACATGAGAGGTTTTTTTTTGACACTACCGCACAAAATGAAAGAGCGATGGAGCATGTTTTGGAGTGGAAGCCTGCCTAATTGTAACTAGTTTGACGTTCACAAAAATTAGTACAGTACTGCAGTAGCACACAAGCGTGGCTTAGAGATAAGGGAGAAAATACCACGACGACAAAGACAAGACATATCCCGACTATTCTAAAAGACCAGACGGTTGACAACCGCAAATCAGAAGACATTTCCTTTGTTGAGACAATCCATATCAGTTGCCAGTGAGTCATCAGCGGCCCTAGCAACAATGGAGCAGGGTTGTCGAGGCTAGGTGAGTTGCTCCGTTTCAGTTCGTGCTGAATGTGAAAGCGTTCAGCCAACAATTAGAAAAGACCGGATCAGCAGAATTGCTCTTCAAACTGTTTAACAGCGTTCAAGCAGACAACTGACAATGAATCAACTGTCCATACTTTTCGGCTATCGTTCCAATCACAGGAGCTATGCTTCCAATTTCACAGCGAAAAAGCTAAAATAATATTGTATTATTCCCAACTGCATTCGCAGCCGACCGACGCACCCGCCTGTGTCACGGATATGCTGAAGCTGATTACCCAGCGAAAGTACTTTCAGTGCTTCAATAAGACTAAGGAAAGCACAATATTGCATCATTTCGGAGACGTGAATTGTGATAGAATAATTCTGCACCCAAATACCCAGTGACATCCGACAATGCGAACCGCACACATATATTTACAGCTTGCAGATTGCAAACAGTTTCTGGATTGTTGTATCGGAGTGCTAGAGCGGAACAACTCCCAGTAAAGAAGAAAAATAGATGAGTACACGGCGAGCTACAATTTGTTGGAGACAAAGTCGTGAGTCAGGAAGGAAGTCCAAGTGCACATAAACTGAAAGTTTGTATAATCAAGATGGACTGATAACTAACAGTGAGCCAGTTACCTGAATAATCTGTCGTTGCTTAGGCGTTGCTTGGGCCAAGCACTCAGCAATTAACCAGGTACATTTCCCGTCGGTGATGTCAGTACCAACTTTACCGGTGATCACTTCGCTCCCAAAACAATCTAGGTAATCGTCCTTAAAACAAGGAACATAAACGTAAAATGGGTCGTGCTTTTACCTGGGCTTGAAAATAAATTCCAAATTTTAGTAGAATATTCGATGCTTGGGAGTATCTTGTTTCATCATTGACTTCTGCCTGAAAATTTAAAATGGATAGAGCGCATAAGAATGAAGTCCTTACAGTGATAATAGAGAATGCAGCAATTCAACTATGTTCTTGGATCGGTTGGAACCACTCGCTTCGGAGTAGAATACCATGGGAACAAATAATCGTTCTACAAAGGAAAACTTATCCCGTCTGTTGGGAAATATTTACTTATTCATGTAATACTATGAGAATTGATGGAAAAAGCTACTGAAAGATCGGCAACAGAGCTACGATAGTAGGGTGGGAAAGTTCTGAGTCAGAGGCGAAGAGCTGAAAGCAACGCATTATCGACATCGTGACTGCGCCACACTAAGCATCGATCTGGACTGTTAAATTCGAGGATTAATGCAATGCAGTGGTTTTGACAAACAATGTACGCAGACGTACAACGCAGGTGTTACTGCAAAGATAAGGAACAGGACTGTCGCAGACGCAGTATAAGAACAAATGCTTTCAAATATATATATATATATATATATATATATATATATATATTCGCAAGCCGTGCCCCATGCTGGGGATGATGTTGCATTCAGGATGCTTCTTCATCGCAGTTGGGCTAAACCTACTTAAACTAGGTCATTTTAACCTCGCTGAATTTCATTCCACTTTAGTTGGTTTGTTCTGCCTACCTGAATAATCTTCCATTAACTGGCCACGTTGCTTACACTATTTGCGCTTATCTTCGGTAACTTTGGTGAGATTGTAGCATTTTTAAGTAACTTGTGGATATTTTCTCTTTATCGCGGATTCGTTGCTAACCAACTTACTTCATAGGATAATTTAACGAAGAGTTATGCCACCGTACCTGTATGCATTATTCGATTTATTTTATTTCAGCTTGTCGTTTCAAATGATTGGCCGTTGCTTGATATCCCCGGTGTGGTTGCGCTTGGTGTGCATGTTGACAAGGTGTCTACCAGTCTAGTACCCACTACCTCGTCCATACTGGCTACACGAGACAGTTGGTCGTTGCTGGAGGGGACGGGGTGAACGGTCCTGGTGGCCGTGCTAGGCTCAAAGAGCGGTTCCATACACTCAGTGTGGAGCGGACTACGGTCTAGCCACCGCCTTGTGTGTGCGCTTGATTCCCCAAGTACAGCGTGCTTGTGTTTGCCTGTGAAGGAGTGTGGGCCGGCTCCGTTGATGAAACGTGGCTCCCATCCACATGCTTCCCGGTCTTATTCCTTCGGGTTCACATTGGATATGGGGTGTGTGGATGGAGCTGTGGGTAGTGCAGCGCAAGCCACCCATGGTCCCTTTGTAGACGCAGGCGCCCTATGGCTGGCCACAGTGACAGTCAAATCCGAAACCGGATGCCGCCAACCACATTCGTAAGTCTGAAAACAGATAAACGTGCCATTAGAAGCATGGCTGTAATGGAATGTGAAAACATTTGTTCAAAAAATAATGAAAAAATATATTATTTAGTGTTTCACACACAGTTTTGAATTTGTTTGTCTAAAACAGTAATTTGGATGAAGAACTGTTAGAAGGGCAGTTATATTATTGATTTCGATTGCGAGCCATAGTCCCCAAAAGCTCAAACTATTCGGAATCCTCATCAAGTGGTCCCCAACCCGGAAGACAGACCGATCCTGCTGATGCGAAACACGAGGTGACATTCTTAACGTTCCCTTCCCACGCCATCGGTTGTCCGCCTCAGCAGTTATTCCAATCAGGCCCAGGAATTGTAAATAACGCTCGACGAGAAAGTCGATTGGCTGGCATGCGCAATACGTGACCGAGCTAATGTAAACGGTGTTTCAGAATAATACCCCGGAGACTGTCAGTGTTCACACTCCGAGTAATAGACTTCGAACTTTCGAGTTGATCACGTAGTGTTGTCACCACACACGAGCGATCGTCCGCAAGCAGCGGTTTTCAAAAGATGATAATCGTTGCAGATGTTCCGTGCGAACAGACCAAGTCGCGCAGCAGTACAGCAGGGTCGCACGGGCAGTGGCACTGTACACTTAGCCTTAGACTGATGTCGCGGAAGCACCACAAGTGTCTCCAGTTAGTAAAACATCAAGAGCGATTCGCTGAGATACTTCATCTCCAATATCATCACATGCCGCGACACAATTACCGAGATAGATGAAGCGATTCATTTGCTCCAGGCAATCATCTGCAATTGTGAATATAAGCATAGGTACTTGGATGGGGTAAAATACAAGCTAGATTTAGATGCCTCGATCGCAAAGCGGTTCAAAACATTATGGATGGCCTAAGGGTCGTTCCCTAGCAATGCGATGTCATCAGCATAATCCATGTCCGCAACTCTGTCCCAGGGATGGAGTTCAAAGCAGCATCTCTCGGCTCTTTTCGATGTGTGGTGCAGAACATACTCGATGGCAAATTTGAAGAAGGGTGAGACAGGGTAACCATGGCCTAATCAACTGGTAACAGTAAAGGAGGAAGAAGGCTTTCCATAAGGACCAACGTTGTCCGAAGTGTGAAGAAAGAGTTCCTTCAGGATTGCCACAAATTAGTCGGGTGCACTGCAATTTCGCAGACAGTTGCGAAGATTTTCTACCTCAGTCAGTCTGAGGTAGACAAAGCAATGTTAAAGAATTTGACGCAGCGTGAAGATCTGGTCGATGCAACCTCGACCGGTGCGAAAACCAGCTTGTTCCTCGCGAGACAAACTCTCTCGATTAACTGAGGCCCTAAGGAACAATATGGACACAGAAACCATAGACGCAACCAAATAAGGGATATTCCTCGGTTGTTGAGGTAATCGCTGCGTAATCGTTTTTATATATCAGGACGCCGATAGATTCGCCCAAATAATTGGAAATCTTCTCATCGACGCACACGCTAGTGAAAAACGAGAGCAGTTGGTTAACAACCGCATTCGCTCCTTTAACATGCACTGAAGAAAAATACCGGTCAATCAAACTAGCGAATCATGCGGACCAGACGTACACAGGGCAGTGGATGAGCCACAGTCCGCTCCACACTGGTTGTATGGAACCACTCTTTGAGCATAGAAAAGTAACGAGAACCGTACACTTCGTGCCCCAGTAACGACTAGCAGTCTCCGGAAGCCAGTAATCGAGGTGGAAGGTGTTAGACAGGTAGGCACATTGTCACCGTTCACATCAAGCGCAGTCACACAAAGGATATCAACCAACAGCCAACACCTGAAATGCAAGAAAGTCAACACGTAGACTAACGTACGGATCAAATGCAACGATGATGTAGCCCATCATCATTATCATAAAGAGATTGTCAACAAAAACAATGTGGTGTTGCGTGGACAGGATACTATCAGGTTGCCCAGGCCTAGACAGGACAGCGATTGGGGTTCAAAACCAAAACCTTTGGTTCAAAAACCTGACCGCAAGGCAACGGGGTTTTGGCACTGGGCTATAGACAGTCCGTGTTATAGAATAAGGAGCCACCATCATTCCAAACCCCAACCTGGAGCGCCAGGGGACTGAGTTTGTCAGACCCCTAACTATTAACCAAGCTGGGATGTGTGGCTCCAAAGGTGCAAAAAGCACCACCGTAAAGTACCACATAACATAGCATAGGCACACAAACCATCGCACCGAAATAAGGTCCAGTCTCGTCGCGATGGATGAAGCAGCACATGTACCATATGAAGCGCATTATTGGTCTGGGATAGTAATTAGAATTGAACCTGGAAACAGCGTAATTACGAACGCTGCGCTGATGATGATTAGCTAATCAGATGGCTTGTCGTTTTTTGATGTAGGCCCCGCTGGTGCTTGCCGCACCGGCTTGACTCAGGCAGTCGCGACCGCATGTGATACTGCCCCATGCGCTTGATGTCGATGTGGTAGACTCCATCGTCACTCGTCGTTTTAGTAACCGGCGTTTCTTTTCCGCATGCAATAGTGCTTCCTACTGCAACTGAGCAAATGCTCTCCTGATTAGCTCCTGCCATCTGCGTCGATCAGCGGCCATCGCCTCCCATGATCTGAAAAAAATCAGTTCGTGTTAAACTCACCTTGATCATGTATTGGTAATGTAACTTCGGTTTTTCAACGTGCAGCTTCCATGCACACAGTTGGTCATATAGCAACTGCATGGACATCCGCGTCGAACCATGCGGCTGAGATACCCCAGCCACCTCAGGTGCCGCAGCAAAAGTATGCAGTCCACTGTATACATGCTAATGTGGCGCAGCACTCCCGTGTCTGCAACTCGGTCACTCCAGCCGATGCGCAGAATGCGATGCAGACACTGTTGGTGGAAGCAATCCAGATAATTGATATCCTTTCGGTACAGCGTTCACATTTCGCTGCAGTAGAGAAGAACGGACGGCAACATCGACTGGTATAGATTCTACTTCGTCCCAACCGTAATCTGGTGATTCCTCCACACACGATAATCAAGTTTACCAAATGCGGTAGCTGCCTTCGATACGCGAATGCGCAGCTCGCTCGTCATTTGAAGGGCGGAGATGAAACACGCCGCCTCTTGGAAACGATGCAGTACGAAAAGCAGGAAGACTCAGCTGATCTGGAAACTGTCGTCCGAAAAGTTGGTGAGTTCTGCGTAGGCCAGACTAACGAGACGTATCAGCGGTATCGCCTTTTTACCCAAAACCGGCGCCCAAACGAAACTATCGAGAACTATGTTAAGGAGCTGAAGATCCTAGCTCGTTCCTGTAATTTTTGCAACTGTATGGGTGACAATTCCATCCGAGATAGAATCGTGCTGGGGATCAATGATGAAAACATCACCAAGCGGCTGTTGCGGCAACAGCAGTAATCGCTCAGACAATGTCTTGATATATGTCACAGTGAATCAACAGCTACACACCACATCCAGCAAATGCGATTGCTGACTGAAGCAGAGCCATGTGCCGTATCGAGTTGACCAGACAAAATTGCGAAGCATGTTATCAGCATCCACGAAACTTGCAAGTTCTGCGCAGCGCGACACCCGAAGGATTGCGACCAATATCCGGCGTGGGGCCGAATTTGCGCCAGATGCGGCAGACGGAGTCA